TGGCAAGGAAGGAATTAATTACTTTACAAGATCGGGGAGCTGTATTCTTAGCTCAGGCAGGGTCTTAGTTAATGGTTGGAGAGAGGTGCTACTCTCAGAGTGAGGTATGGCAAGATGATGAAGAGTGAGAATGACGATAGTTGAGACAGAATTAAAGCGCGTGTACGATCGCGATAAGAGAGTATCTACGTTGCTTGCGCCACAGGACTGACAGATCAATTCTGCAAGGGATGCTCAGCCACAAGGGGCCACAGCGGACACCACAGCGGATGACACTAGCAGGTGTATGTGGCGTCTTATAGTGGGACAGCGGGGCGAAAAGGGGCTGACGTCAATTCTTAGCGGGTAACAGAAACTCCTATCGGATTGATAACGGCCAATTGAGAAATTATTTTTGGATACATGCATTCCATCTAGACATTCTGACATTGAATTAAATTATGACTCTTGCTAAGTACCTGCCCTGATCTTGAACCTGATTGTTTGTCATCCGACCTCGCTCCGTCCCTCCCTGTATATCTTTGCCTTGATCATAGATTGTATATAATAGCTTGTTTTTTCAACTGGATATTGTCATCCTAGCTTACCGACGACCGGCAATACTTCTTAGCGTCCCAAGACGTTTGAGTCAAATACACGGCTCTCCGCTATGCCTCTGCACTATTTGAAATATTGATCGCAAAATGGTCCAGTTTGCTGAACCCAGAAGATCCGAACAGGAGTCGGCGCTGGAGGCTTCCAGCAGTTCTGCTGCAGGTGTGTCAGATGTCGACGACTCTGTCAACGGGAGCGCAAAACAGGGACACGACAAAGACCGAGACAATAGTAGGAAGGCTGATAAGAAGAAGCGAAGGAGGAGAACAAAGGATGGCGGGATCTCCGAGGTCAATGGAAAAGAGAGCTCCTCGAAAAGGAGGAATAGCCTAAGCAAAGCTGCAAGAGACCCCAGAGATGAGCCAACTAGGAAGAAGTTGGCCAAGGTCGAAGGCGTCGCGACCAGGTCGCCTAGTCCAGTGATCGACTTTGATGGGTTGAGCCGACCAAGTTCGTAGACGCTCTGTGCATCGTGGTACGCCAGCTGACATAAATCAGGCCGGGGAACTCGGGAGCGGCTGGAAGAGAGCACCGAGCAAGCGGCCGAGAGACTCGAGAAAATGCGAGCAGCCGTTCGCACAATTTTAGAATGCGTAGGTGAAGATCCTGACCGAGAGGGGATCTTAGACACTCCAACACGCTACGCCAAGGCAATGCTGTTCTTTACCAAAGGTTATCAGCAGAACGTCAGAGACATCGTGAACGACGCTATTTTCAACGAGAATCACAATGAGATGGTCATTGTGAAGGACATAGAAATCTTTAGTCTATGTGAGCACCACTTGGTCCCCTTTACTGGGAAGGTAAGCCGCCCCCCCCCCCCCCCCCCCCCCCACCCCTGACGGCCCGATGTAGCCCATGTTCTAATACCACTACAGATGCACATTGGATACATTCCCGCCAATAACGTCATTGGCATATCCAAACTTCCGCGCATCGCGGAAATGTTCAGTCGCCGGCTACAAGTCCAGGAACGACTAACCAGGGAGGTTGCCAACGCCATCATGGAGGTTCTGAAGCCTCAAGGCGTAGCAGTAGTCATGGAGTCGAACCATCTGTGCATGGTCATGCGAGGTGTCGAAAAGACGACAGCAAGCACAATTACTAGCTGCGTACTCGGATGCTTTGAAAGAAAAGAGAAGACGAGAAACGAGTTCCTAAGTCTAGTGGGCCTAAATCGAGGGTACAGGTAGACCAAGACTAGAGACTGGTTGCGGTGCATATCGTGTCCATACGTGCATGAAAGGCGTTCTGGGATTTAGAGTGGGATCTCAACATCAACTCATCACTGGGTCCTGAGAAGTAATTGCATTTGATATCGGAGTTTCAGGGGCTCAACGCCTCGAATCGAGGCAGCATGTGGTGTCTGGGTATTAAGAAAAGATCACTCTTCAACACTCACATTATGTACCATTAACCACATAATCGACTCATTCGTTTTTGTCATTGGGATTCATGGTACAAGTACGGATCACCGTCCAAATATACATCCCCGGCGCCTCCGCGAGTGCCAGCAAGGCTACCGGCTACAAAAGAAACGTAGACTGCCCATCTACATTATCAGTGATCAACCACATGTAACATCGCGTCCGGAGGCGGGCGGTGAGGAGGACCAGTTCTATTAAATTTGGTGTAGAATATGGTTAGTGATTATAATTGATACAATGCTTTCTTGGTTGCCGCTATTCCACCACCTACCATATCAAGGTTGTCTAAAGATATTACCGCATTTTCTTTTATTTGACAGTTTACCCTCAGGTTTTACCAGATACCAGAAGCTCATACCGTGATTCGAGGGTAACATAGATATGGTGGCAATCCCCATCCTGTTAATGCCTTGATCAGCACAAAATTTCGTCATTTATTGAACGACACGAACATATTCAGGAAGTTTTAGGAGTTAATGTTCTCTCATACATGCATGTCCAAACTGTTACGTTACGAGCATCATCGGGATCACCAGGTGGAATAGATATAGAGTCAAAACCTACGGAACAGCAATAAAATATAGCTTGCCGTAGCATGTGAAATACGCTCTATGTGCATGTCCCTTAAGTATTCTTAACACCACCACAATATGTAAATACGCTGTTACTGTTGTAGATCATGCAAGCCACCTACATATGCTCTGCCCAATAAATGCAATCGATATCCAGTAAATATATGTATCATTAGATAGATAGTTAGCAATACCAACTATGTCGAACTTATCTCTCATGACTAGCACAGCAATGTCACCAGAGAAATATATTCCAACCATTTCAACAGTCTAGTAAAGATTGTGCAGAAACGAAACAGGTTTGCGAAACTTCGACATCTAATGAAAACGTACAGATCTGTATGATGTGCCAAGTTTCGCCTCCCCACCATTATTGCGCCGGCAGTTCTACTCTACATAAACGAAAGGATGACGAAATCATGAATGACTTCCAAACCAAGGTAAAGTCTCGATGTACCACGTAGTTGACATGATTGCGAATCTAGGTCTATAAGACCCGAACCGCCAGACTGGAAACTTTGAGCTTGACCCTTAGTTCTGCAATCGACACACTTTCGAAGCACTCCCATACTCTATTCAGACTATTTTGCAGATACAGACACTCTATCCCATCAGCAACAAGCCTCAAGCACTTGCAGAAATGTCATCACGCGGGCGCGACTATGACCGTCACAACTCTAAGCGATATCGCTCGAGGTCCGGAGCATTCCTTGAAGCGCTTGAAGACGGCCACCTCGGGGATGCGCTCGGGGCCGTGAAGCCGGGATTCAACCCGAACGCCGGCGACCACCACCATCGGCACCGCTCAAGCGACAAGAAATACTATCACGCCGATGGAAGGCCCCGTCATCAGCACAGAAACCATGACGACGACAAATATTACCGCAAAGAGACTAGGCCACATCAACGGCACCGCTCCACGCACACTGACCTCCCAGACTATGACAGAAGGGGTCACCGCGAGCGGCAGCTCAGCCGTTCTAATAGCGGGCCGGACCTGAGGCAGGCTGCGGAGGCAGCCGCCGTGGCCGGGCTAATCGAGGCATGGAGAGCGCGGGACGACCGCGATCAGACTGCACGGGCTGCCACCGCCGCTATAGGCGCTGGGGCAACCGACGCGCTCATTGGGAGGAAGGACGGTGATGGTAAGACGAAGAGGCATATGGTAGAGAGCGTGGCCGCGGGGCTGGCGGAAAATAGGGCCCTGAATGGTTCGCGGCGTTGAATCCGGGGGACGCGGCGGTCGTTGCGCTAATACGACTATTACTCTCGACTTAAAAAAAGAGGCGCAAGCCAAAACAATGCACCTGTCATCCAACCTCAGTCACGGTCTTATGGACACAATCATGTTTTACTCGTAATGTCTCCGTCTAGAATATCTTATGTCAGTCAGACAGTCCAGTTAGAATAGAGTAATCTCCCCTTGAACTTCATATGACAGGCATGCAATATGATTAATATGTACGAGTGGTAGAACCGTAGCTATTCAACTTGCTCATCGTGTTCTTCAGCACCCAATATAGCCAAGTAACTGTGTCAAAGACTACAATACAACCACTGAGCTTTCGGGTGACCCAGCATATGGGGGATACGTGTCTTACTACTTGTCCAATATGCTTGCATGCTAGTCAAAGCTGGGACTAATTAGGTTAGGTTTGATCCTTCCACAAGAACAAGGCCACAAAGCACTCTGTAGGTACTACATGCTCCATGAGTATTGTACACAGGAACTGAAATACACATCATCCTTTACTAGGAATTACGCCATCCATAACCAGCCTAAACAGCAGTCTGTTGTATCAACTCCTCTATGGTTATGCCAAATCCTGTTGCCAAGGCTATTCAGTAGATTATTTTCTAGCACATGATATGACAAGGAGAACCGGCCACAATATGTATGACTAGTAAGAGGAATTATTTGTTCTTGTGATGAGAGAAGTAGTGCCGAGTCATAACTGATAATATAGGGGTACAATAAACGGCTTAGAAAATGATTCAAATTTCACAGTACAGAGAATTCTTGTTGCAGCAGCCAGAATGCTTTTGGGTAACTTTGCCTGCGTGAAATTTGTCTGGAAGGTCATGGAGTTATTCAAGTAATAATGACACTTCGAGGCTCGATATCTAGCGTCTGCAAAACTACCTAGGTAACCGTATACTACATGCAGACTATACATGCTTTATGTTGTATGGCTCTGAGAAGCTTAGCTAAGCAGTGTAGAAGTTGCCGAAGCCGTTTGTTAACGTGCTTGCTTAGGGACGTTATACTATGAGTACGACGTACCTAAGTAGTTTCCAGGGTCACCAGACGGGTAGTTACATAGTACACCAAGAAGCTACAGCCTTCTATGTTTGCACATGGGTCTTTATACAATCTATTACATGACAGGAGTAATCATTCAAGTAATCCGAATTGGTGTAATGGTTAACATTCTAGATTCTCATTCTGGAGCTCAGGGTTCGATTCCCTGATTCGGAGTTTGTTATTTTTGCTTCATCTTTAACTGATATTGTACTAAGATATGAGTTCAGTGTGTCCCCAGCCAATACACGCTGGCCTGTCTTGAAAGAGGCGATGTGACACTAGTTGTTATATCAGACATATATCTGGTGTAGGCACTGCTGGTGAACTTCAACTACATAGAGATGAACAATGTGGCTTGAACTGGCCGTTGCATTGAACATCAAACACCCAACCGTAGAGTTACAGAAACATACGTGCTCTTTCAAGTCTTTGGGCAAGTTGCAAACAAGAATTGGCTAATGACAATAATTACAACAACTCAGCCCAACTGCTCAAAGAACAGATCTCCCGTCAACTGATCCTCTGGCGTATATGAGCTGAACCGCATCACCACCCTATTGCCATACAAAGTTTAATGTTTTGTAAACTCGTGCTCACCCACGAGGGCACCCAGGCAACCTCTAGCGGCCCATGTGTTATCTGACCACTTCCAACTCTGTCCGTAACCTCACTGATAACAAATGGCGCTGCATAGGAAAGTGTATGCTTCCTAACAAAGGCCCATTTAGTATCTGATTGGTTGTCCTCAAACGGGACTGTCAAGTTACATGGCCGATGTTCTAGATTCGACGACATGAAGTTTGCTGGCATGTAGCCCAATGGGTTATATATTAACATGCCAACAGGCTTCCGTCCTAACACCGGGTCCTGATCTGACATTGTGCCATTATTGTAAACGCTAGTTATTGTGTTATAAGTAAGATATATGAATTACCGATTTGATATCGCTTACGAAGTTCTATTGAGAAACAGCCAGATACTAGCATGGCTTTAATATAACTAATTAGTCAGACAACTTTCCTCTACAATGGTTTCAACGCCCTATCATAAATTCATGAAAATTTATTTCAATCAGGTTTCCAGTTGATGCCATTGTCGGGGTAAGCATGAAAATTGTCTTATGTTAGCTTATGACTAACAACATAATCTGATATGGGCCACCAGTACGCTGGACCTACAGTAAGACGCAATGAACAGACACCCGGAGCTTCAGGCTGCGTGCAAGGAGAGATGGCTAAGGGGGTTCTATTCTCTTATAGATGAAGATATCTATCTGTTGTGTGCAATCTATGCATGTGATAATCCGCTCAATGGTAACAATAAAGGGGGGGAGCTAAAGGGACATGAAGGAGAATTGTACATATGTAGTGGGCATAGTGCCCTAACTACCTAGGTAGGTGACCTGAGGTATAAGTGGCTATATCACCTAACACAGGGCGCCCTAACCTACCTAAAACAGCCTAAGGTTAGGTACCGTGTAGGTAGTTCTACATACCTAAGGCATTACAACATATGTACCTGTCCCTATTGTCACGTGGGTGTGCTAGCTACTACAAAAGTACGTGATTGGCTAGCACGTACCCACTGTTAGTAGCTTACCATCTACAACTTACACAATACATACAATGCCAACACCTATCTACTTGATAGGTGACATCACCTGGCAGGTATGTGGGGCGAGGTCACCTGACAAGGAGTGAGGCAATCCCAAGGACACCTGAAGACTTTCAGTTATTCACGAATTCATCTATAACTGAAATAGGGTACAAAATGTACCTATACAACAAAACAATTCAGAAACGAAGTGGTTAGGGGTGCTGAAGACATACAAGAGTCGACGTTCCACAGCACATCTCCCTTTCCTAACCTACATAGTACGGTCCGAGCATCCGAGTCGTAGGTATCAACTCGCCATAGGAAACAACCTGGTCTGTGGCGTCACTGGGCCATGCCACTCCATCCTCGTCGGTCTCATAGCTCTCACAATTCTCGAAGCCCTCACAGCTCTTGAAGCTCTCGTGATCCTCATCGCTCTCTTGATCCTCATCACTCTCTTGATCCTCATCGCTCTCTTGATCCTCATCACTCTCTTGATCCTCATCACTCTCTTGATCCTCATCACTCTTGTTGTTCTCGATCCACCAACCCCTACCACCTGTCATATATATCGCAGTCCGGGTATCCCAAGATCTCTCCATTCTTCGCGATGAGATATACGTAGGGTTGGGCTCGGGGCCCTCCGCTCGTCGCCAGGGCTGTACGAAGGTTCCGAGAGTCTGTAGCCGAACTTCATCCCACATCACATATCCCCACTTGCGGTTGATCCAGTCTACTTCATCAAAGATAGTCAAGGTTGACTCCTCTTTCGACACCTTCCATATCTTCTCTGGCCCATCATCGCTATCGTCGTAGAAGGGGTCACCTTGAAGCAAGGCCCCATCCTCATTGTTTTGGATGAACTCCTCTATATCACCCCTCATGCACTCAAGACACTCGAAGAGAAAACAGAAGTTGGCATCAGGGGGCATCTCTCCGACGCACAAGGCCCATACTATGTCTTGGATTGACCTCAAAGTCATGAGTCTGAAGAGTTGTTCCAGTCCTAACGAAAGAAGGTGTTGAATAGGATAATCAGTCGCAACACAGTTATAAGGGACCCTGTGTAGGCCCCAGACAACGTCGTGTGCCGCGACGGAGTTGAAGATAGGGGTCACCTGTTGGCCGAGAAAGTCGTGAATGCAGGCGAGCTGTGCATTCTCCCACGGGGCGAATTTGGTAAAGAAAGAATACGAGCAATCTGGTGCGTGGTCTTGATGTTGGCAGCCAAACAGTTTGCAGAACAATTCGTAACGGTAGAATGCTCGTTCTATCCGTGCCCTTTCGGTCTGGGTCGGTGGGTTGACTTGGAGGCTTGCGCCCACCTGGACGTGCGAGGACTCAGCACAGAACTGGATGAATTTCTCGGTGAACTCCGTGACGTAAAAGTGAAAATTCTCAAGGGAAATAGCAGTCTTCCAGTCGCACGGCACCATAGCTAGCGTCGGCGCCTTCATTTTGCGGATGAATATCTCCGCCAAATCGTTGACTAGCACGCATGTATTATATGGAAGCCAAGGCTTCTTCATCGCAGGGAGAACGGGCGGCCGGCATTCCCAGACAAGAAGCGCCTCGGGAAGGACGTCAATGCCAATACTGTTAATAAGCACCTGCTTGATGATTCTCTTCTCGTCCGCCATGAGGGCTAGATATAGCGAGCGGCACTATAACAACAGGAGTCAGTAATTGCTTATTTAGGGACAAAATTAGCTCATTTAATGCGTGTCTCGGGAGTGATTACTCCCAGGCGAGCAGAAATGATACTAAAAGGGGGGAAAAAGAACTCTGGATGTTACATACGGACAACGCAGCATCCCAACTCTCGGAATCGGCGATTTCCCATTTAGGAATAGGTTACTTTTAAGCGATTATTAATAATAAAGTCATTTACATATTAATAATATAGAAATACCTATATATTAAAAACTTAAATTAATAATCGATTAATTTAAGGCTTTTAATCCGAAATAAAGCTATTTATAAAATAGCTAATCCTATATACCTTTCCCTTTTCATTATATCTAATTTATAATACCTGTCGGTACTAATATCCTATATATCGAAAATCAAATTAAAGCTTTCTACCTAAAACGAAGCTATTTATAAAATATTTAATCCATAATACCCATTAATATTCTATATACCCTTTTAGCAGCCCTTATATATAAATTAAATATAAGTATAAATAGCGCTAGTCTAATATTAAAAGCTAACAAATTAAACCAATACCTATACCGCCTCGTTTTATTCGTTAATAAAATTATAGGTACTCCCGAAAGCTCTATCATTAATATCTATTTATTATTATTATTTAAATAAATTAGTAGTTTTAAAAATAAAAAGCATAGCTTATTTCCTTTCATTCTTATTATAAATTCGGGCTACCGTTATTACAATATTAAAAGCGGCCTATTACTTTTTATATATAAGAAATAATATACCGAATATATAAAATATATCTAATTTAATTGCTTATATAAATATTTAAATCTTTTTATTAATTTATAATAAAATTACGTTTATTAAAAAAAAATTCTAATCTTAATTATTAATATTTAAATTATAAAAAATACGGCCGTTTTAATATATAATTTATTATAAAATATCGCTAAAAATAATTTAAATACCGTAAATTTCGATTATTTTTTTAAAATCGTAAGGTTTAAAAATATTTATATTAACATAAATATTATAAAGGTTTTATTATAATAACTTATATTTATTAATAGTAGCCTTAAAATAAATAAATATTACTATTACCGTATTACTTTAAAAAAAATGCTTTTTTAAAGCCTTTTATAGTTAATATCGGTATAATAAATTTAAATATATATAATAAAGCTATCGGAAATATATTTCTTTCCGTAACGCGGATAATTTACAATAATTACGATATATATATCAATAAAACGGAAAATAAATATAAATAATATAATTAATAAATATATTGGGTAAATTTTAAACGTAAATATTAAATATTAAATAAATAAAAAGGTAGTTAACTTACTTTATATATATTAGATTAAATACTTTTAATTAAATATATAAAATTTAAATAACAAATTTATTAAATTATAGGTTATAAAGATAATAATAAGGTAATTATAAATACCTTTATAGATTTTTAAATTTAGTAACTATAATACGGCAATATTCCCGTTTCGGAAGGCGGTAAAAACGTACGCGAGTTAAAATATAATATAGTTTATAACATAATAAAGGCCGTAGTTATAATAAACCTTACAGTAATAACCGTAAAGGTTTAGGAACGGAATTAATTTAAAATGCTATTAATTAACTATTAAAAAAATAATAGGGATTAATAGCCGCTAATTAATACTATTTTTTTAATATTAACGAAATATTAAATAAAAATAAAGGTAATATATTTATAGAAATACTATAGGAAATAATATAAAAAGAAATTAACTATATAGATATAAATAACTAAATAGATAATTAATTTAAAAACGATTAAAAAAAATAGCGTTTTTATACTTATTTTACGAAAAGAGATTAAAAACGAAATAAAAATCGAAAAGCTATAATTAAAATTATATATAATCGAAAATATAAAT